TTTTTTTTTTTTTTTTTTTTTTACCTCAGTTAATTTACTTTCGTCTCTCTTGTCCTGTTCCGCCCATTTCCTGGCGGCGGCGGCGGCGGCGGCGGCGGCTCAGACTTCCCGGCATCCAACGGAAAATTCAACTTAGCCTTTCTTCCCCTCATTTTAAACGCAGCCGAATCATAAGCCCTAGCCGCATCAACATCCGAATTGAAAGTCCCCAACCAAACCCTACTCCCTTTTCTACTCGGATCTCGAATCTCCGCCGCGAACTTCCCCCACGGCCGCCGTCGTACACCTCTGTACTTCCTCCCGCCGTCGGAACTCGACACCTCTTCCGCCATCGCCACTTCTGGAGAGCTCGATCGCTCCGATTGTTCCGGCTTCTGAATCGGAGGCTCTTCCTCTTCCGACGGTTTCATGAACTCGAAATCTTCGAATTCGAATTTGATCGACGGGAGAGAGAAGAAGGCGGACGGTAACGGGAACTCGAAATCCAGGAGAGTGCGGAAGGAATCGGAATCTTGGAGACGATGGCGTTGGATGAGATTCAATCGTGAGAAATCGTCTTCTTCTCGCAGTTCCATTTTTTGTGATTTCGTTAAAAAGGAGATGCGTTTTGGACACATTTATAGTGGGTGAAATTACGATAATGTCTAGACACCACACTCACCTAATTCTACTTTTCTTCAATTATGCAAGGGTAAATATGGAACTTCAAAATTATTTTGGATAACTATTACTTATTTCTTTAATATTATATATGAAGATAAACCTTTTAAAATATCTTATAAATTTTGGATTTTAAAGATTGTTTTGTCAATTTCTAAATTATAAAATTTTCTTGATTTTTTTCTATTTATTTGAAAAAAAAATTAAAATTTTATTAAACAAAAAGTTGAAATTTCAAAAATTATTAAATTTAAAATTAAATTTTCATTGAGTGGAACCGAGCCTTACTTGTCATAGCACTTCAAGTTTATCTCTTCCTCTCGATGTCGCTATCGCTGTGTTCACTTCTTCTTCCCATCCATTTACGGGCTTAATCACATCTTATAATAAGTCTCTCGTGTTATACACTATTATATGCAAATTTCTTAACATTTTTAATATTATTTTAATTATTTTAGTTGAAAAGTAGAAAGAGCTTCAAAGCTGATCGAGTTTTGAAGCGTGTTAGATTTTTGTGAATTTGTTATAGATTCTATTTTTATTAATTCTCGTTAACATTATACCTATTGTGTCAACGTTTAATGAAAAGTATTAAATGAGACAAATTAAAACGAAATGTTGATTTAAATCAAACTAAGACAATTCAATCGTCAGAATTTTTTGTTTTGGATGGTCCAATAAGACGCGAAATAAGCAAAAAGTGGGGTATGGAGTGGACCAAAGGAAGAAGAAAAGGTCGAGACAACTAAGAGGGATAAAAATGTCATTTTCATCCAAGTTGAGAGGTTTTTGTTTTACAAGTCAAGTGGGTACATCCAAATCGAGCATGTCGTATCCTATTGATGACGTCTCTAAATTTTTACATTTAGATCCAAAAGATTTTAAAATTACTCTAATAAACTGATAAAATTTTAAGTTTATTTTAAAGTTCAAGAACCAAATAAATACGAATTAACCTAATATCAAACTTTATAATCTTAATTTTGGTAATGAAAATAAAAATTCCAGCTTGACTTTCCATTCGGGACTTTTTTACATTAAACATTTTGATCAATGGTCAAACGAGATCGTCTTTTCTTAACCATACTTTACCAATTGATGTTCGTAGAACATTCTCACTACAGGATACCAATCAACACATCTTTTAATAAACTATATAATAATAGCGATTGAGATAATATTATATATATGAGTAATTACACGTTTGATAATTATTTAATTTTTATTTTTAAAAAATTAAAATGAAAAAAATGTAAGAAAAAAAAAGCAATAATTTCATAAATAGGCATTAAACCTTCACAATACATCATTGATCGATGTTTGATGGTTCCATAAAACAAAATATAAAAAATTCCCAATTCAATAAATGAATAAACAAATCAAACCCCTTCAAACATATATATATATATATATATATATATCTCGTTAACTTGGATAAGGATCGAATTCACCATCACTAAGTTAACGAGTATTTTTTTTTTTGGAGAAATTTTATGTGACGGTGCATTGAGGATATCCCATTAACGGATGAGGCGATAACGGCGGCACGCTGAAGATCCCCTTCCCATCATTGTCCCAAACCGGCGCCCAACAAGACGGCGTTAGAGGACAAATGGCCGCCGGAACTCCGATTTCATTTGTTTCCGACGACTCCTCCTTCTTCACAACCTTATTCTCCATTTCCCCAACCTCACTCTCCCTCCTCCTTTTCCGGCCAACAGCTGCCGTGGACGGCGGCTCCTCTGCTTCCTTTCCAGCCTCAAGAGGAAAATTCAAAATCGCCTTACTTCCTCTCATCTTAAAAGCAGCTCTATCATAAGCTTTGGCAGCTTCAATTGCGGTATCGTAAGTTCCAAGCCAAACACGAGCTCCACGTTTGTTGGGGTCCCGAATCTCCGCTGCAAACTTCCCCCATGGCCGCCGGCGAACCCCCCTGTAATGCTGACTCAGGCCCACATCGGATTTTACCTCAGAAGATGTCGTAACCGTCGCCGTCGCTGCCGCAGGGGATTGGACAGAGTGGGTCTTGGGTGGAATCATGACGTTGAGAGAGGGACGGCGGTGACCGATCTTTGAAGGGGCAGCGGGGATTTGAGGTGTGAGTCCATTATTGTTGATGAAATCGAGATTTGAAGCGAAGGCTTCAATGGAGTTGAAGTCGCTGAGAAGGTGTTGTCTGATGAAATCTAAGGTCGAAGCGTCGTCGCCGTAAGCCATTGACGGAGTTGAAATTTGAAGAAGAAGAAGAAGAATTTTTTTAGTGGAAAATTAGGAGTGAGGAAGGAGAGTTTATAAAGGGATTCAGAAAGGGGGCTTCTGAGAAGACTCTGAGAAGGGGAGAGGAAAGGATGAACCGAGGGGTAAAATGGTATTTTCATGTGGGGTCCATGCCTGATGTGTGATTTCGGGGGAGCTTCTTACGGTTTGAATTGAGCGAGAAAATCGTCTTTTTAGTCCAAAGTTTTCAGTATATTTATTTAGTCTTTTATATTCATATTTTATATTTTTTTTTAAGTTTGTTTTTATTTGATTTTAAAATATTCTATTTTTAATTTTATTTTAACTTGCAATCTAAATTTTTAAATTTTTAAATTTTAAAAATTCAATGCCCAGAAAATTCTTCATTTATTCTCGTGGAAATAAAAAGATGGAATTTTCAATCTCTTTTTCATTTATTATTCTCTTAAAAAATAAAAATCTTTATTAAATAAATTTAAAATTTCTAATATTAATTTTAATATTACAATTTACCACATTTTTTTAAACTTAAATATTATAATACAAAACTTAAAATTAACTAATTTATTTTTTAATAAAAAACATGTATATATTAAAGGAGGGGTACCGTGAGGAATTGGACAGGGTCAAGGACTAGATTCCCGTCTTTGGTCCAATTTATCTAATCGGTAAAAAATATTTTCACTCCATTTCCCATTTACCGTTTAAATAGGAAATTTCCTCTTCATTTGGAGTGGATCCTTGCGGTAAATTGGACATCTCTCTCCCATTTCTCGTGGAGAATCTCCTCCTTGCTTAGAGCGGCCCTATGGATAAAATTGACATCTTTACTTTTACCTTTGAATAATGAACGCTAACTTTTAATTAATTAATTATAATATGATTTTTTTAATTAATTTTAATAATTATAAATAATAATAATAATAACTAATTTAATTATATAATTAATAGAAAACTAATACAAATAATTAAAAATGGATCAAAATTAAAAAGTAAAAAGTTATATTTTGAAATTTAAGTATCAAAAGAAAAAAGAACCAATTCGATATAATTGGATTCGGTAGCGCTCCAACACTTTTTTGTCGAACAGGATTAGATTAGATCTATTTGATTAGTTTATAGTTTTTAAAAACTTATAAATTAATTGTTATTATTATTAATTGTTTGAATATTGATCTACTTTAATACTTAGGTCATGACATTTAAGACGTTTAAAAAACGAAAACTTTATAAACTTTATTTAACTTTAATAATTATTTGATTTTTTAAAAAAAATCTCCATAATCACTTTTTTTTCTAATTTATTTTAATATTCTATCTTAACTTAATTTAATTTTCTATTTTTAAAGAATAGAAGAAAAAAAAAGTTATTAAACATATATGATTTTGAAATCATTTTATTGGTCCAAGTTTCATCACCAACATCAATTAAGAGTACGTTTAATTATGGTTGAACAATTATCTTTTTAATATTTGACCGTTAAATTTATAAATACGTTAAATTCTTAACTAATATCATCATCTAGATATAATCGGCGCACGTAATCTTTGAAATGATATTACCAACGATTATTCCAAATAAAGGACCAAATATACATTTTGAAATGAGTGTGAGGCTCCAAAATTAAGGGTCATTAAGGGTCGTGATTCATTTTTAATTATTATAGATTAGTTTTTAAAATATCTATTTTAGCGCTTGAACTTTAAAAAATAACCAATTTAACCTATAAATCTTTTAAACATTTGTTGTGATATTTTACCCTTAAGAACTTAAAAGACGAACATTAAATATGGACGTGACCGAAGCCAAGTTGGTTGAAAGTAAATATTAGGTGAACAAAATTCTACGTACGAATCAAAATATCATTCATTTTTTAAAATATAAAAAAAAAATTAAAACTTAAAAATTATTATTTTAAATTTTAAAATCATACCTACCCTTTAACAATAATAGAGTTGGAGATCAAACTATAACTTTGAAATGATGTTGAGTGAATTATGTTCAAATTGATATTATCTTTTTAAAAAATGTAAATTAATAAATTAGAATTTAAGGCTTTATTACGACTGAAATATTAAAATAACGAAGAATATTATAAACATTTTGTTATTTAATTTGGGTGCAACCAACCAAGGCCATGACTTAATCCAATTTGCTATACAGATTGTAAAGTTAAACAACTTGGGTTCCCTTTACAAAAAGCCATCAATAATGCAACCTAACCTATGCCCATTTCATAAGCTTTACCCACCTTATAAAATAATAATAATAATTAAAAAAAAACTTAGGATAACAAAAATAAATAATTATTGAGCTAAAAGGGGACAACATTTGAAAATGATGGCATCAACCCCTTCCTTCATTATTTAAACACCAATATTAAATTAAATATTAGCTAATTTAGGAGGTTCGGGAATGAGATTGGTTAGGGTCATAATCCAATTGTTCGGGTTGTAGAGTTTTCTAACCCAAATAATCATCCGCGCTACTGGAAGAAATCGAAGAATTTCTCAGAAATCCTACAAGATCCATTCGTTCTTTTTTCTCTGACAAATGGTCAGAACTTCATATGGGTTCGAATTCTATTGAGAGGTCTAATTAAAATAAAGAAACTAACCAAACTCACCGCAATTAAGAGTTTAATATAAATTTTAAAAAATTACTGATGAAATTAAATAAAAAATAAATAAATAAAAATTTAATTTAATTAGGAGATAATCTGTGACCTAACAAAATTTATAAATTTTTTATTTAATTGAATCAGTCTAATCTAAATAACTTTATAATCTAACTAAAATCGTAAGGAATTGGATTGAATTGATGGAGTGCTTCAAATTATCAATTTTTTAATACCGCTAATGAAATTATAGCATTCAAATATTTTAAAAATAATTAAATGGAATAAAAATATCAATTAATGACAAAATTAGCCTATGGTCGGCTCAAAACTTGGCTGCCTCCAGAAGGTTGGAGTATTTAAATGATAAAGTAAGTCTAATTCTCAAATGTGTAACGAATTTTGTCCCATTAGATAAATATTATTCCACCTTACATTTAAAATTCAATTCATTCTAGAAACAATTTGAAATTTGAAGCGCTTCCAAAAGCTTTATATTATAATATATGGTTGTTTATGTGGTCACAATAATGGAAAGTTATTCCAATATCCTTAATTTTTATTCATACCTTATTATTCTAATTCATGCAATAAATTATTATTGTCCTAATATTATTATTTTTTACATAAATTTTCATTTTTTTTCGTTCACTTAAAAGGTGTCATATCAACGTCAGACTTGTTTGATGTGATAAGAAAACAATTAAATTATTATTCAGTAGAATAAGGGTTTGATGGGTTGAATTTTTTTGGACTAACTCGAAATTTGACTCAAGCAATTCTAATAGAGTTTACAACCCAACCGAGCTCTCATTTTGAGTTGGATTGGGTTGAGATGTCTTGTTTTTTTAATTTATTTTAAAAAAATACTATTTATCCACTATTTATTAAATTAATAACTAAAATTTCATAAAATTCAAATATAAAATATTTACAAATCGCACTAACATTAAATATTTTTAATCATTTTAAAAGTAGGGTTGAGTTGTAATTCTATTTTTTTTTTATTATAAAAAGAATGTCAACCTGCAAACTAAATCAAATTTTCAATGTTCCAAAAATTCAACTCGACCCATCGAGAAAAATCTAACTCATTGTTTTTATAAGGAGAAAAATGATGTAATTTTTAAGGAAAAAAAATTAAAAATAGTAAAATATTATATATATATATATATATATAAAATATGTAAGAGTAAAAAATATATAAGGAGTAAGAGCAAATTATTAAAATTTAAAAAATCAAAAAATCAAATTGAGAATAACCTAATAAGTGAGTGGTTATTAGATAAATTGAGCGAAGTACAAACTCAAAAAATAATTTCATATTTATTTAATTTAAGAAAGTGAAATATTTATAAATAAATAAATAAAAAGGAAAATTTCAAAGATAATTAAGTTTATATGATTAAATTAAAATTGAAATTAGTATAAATAAAAAAAAGGCTAAAAATAAGCCCACGTGTTGTGTGTTAAAGCCCAGCCCAATAAGCCCACTTTGTAAAATAAAATAAAAAGGAATTAAAAGAAAGAGGAAAGCCTTCTTTCTACCTTCTATGCTCCACGCCATTTAATATTTCTTCTTCACGGCGTCTCCTCCTCCGTTTCATCAGCTGACTGTCGCCGCCGTCTCTCTCCCGTTCACTGTTGCCGTCGCCGTCGTCTTTCTTCCTTTCGTGCCGCTGCAGCACTATTCCATTGTTGTTACTGGTATTCTCCCATTCATCATCTATGTCTTTCTTCTTACTACACAATTTATAACCTCTCTAATGAAAGAATGGAGGAGTTGTTTGTTTATTTTATTTTTTCTTTAATAACAATATGCGAATAGCAACGAAAGTAGAAACAGCCTTGCTGTAAATTAGGATGTGGTTTGTGATTGACTGTTCTGATTCGGACATGGATTAGTCATCGAATTCTCTTTTAGTTTCTAGCTTGATTCATTGAAAGAAAAACTTCAACCTTATATAAACATAGGAAGAGAAATAGTTCGTTGGAAAATGAAATTACAAAAGGAAATCATATCTAGAAGTGATATGAACCAAGAGACATCAATTATACAATATACTCCAATGAAAGTACGAAGAAGATGCTCTTGAAATTATAAAAAAAATATTTCAATTCATGCTACATTGAATGAATTTTGGGTGGATTATAATTCAGTGTTATGATATTTCATTAATGTATTTTATTTAGTTTAGGTTACATTTACATCATACTTAATTATGGAATGTTACAACTCTCGGGATGCCTTTAGTAATTTCATTTTGAGGCTATATTAAACATGTATGTTGTATTTGTAAGGAGACTTGGAAGATATAGTAAAAGAAGCATTTGTGCTTTTCTTTTGTCAATGATTAAGTTTCTTTGCAATTCTAAGTAGTTTAAGTTGCATGTAGAATCATTCAAGCTTGAGATGATCAATCTTGCTCGTGGAGTGATTCGAATCTCAAACCAGTGTTCTTGCCTTGAGATATTTGATCAACAAGAATCATTCAAGCTAGCATTGATCGATCTTGCTTGTGGAGTGATTCGAATCTCAAACAAGTGTTCTTATCTTGAGATATTCAATCAACAGGGTAATCCGAATCTTACTCTCTTTGAAAAACTGTTCCAATTGGCCATAAGATTAGTAAAGCTATCATTACAAAAAGAGGCTCTCAATTTGCATCATTGAAGAGATAGAAAAGCGATGGAAGTAATAAGAGAGTGAGTCTTGTTCCTTATCCAAGAAGATACGAGAGTTTCGCTCCATCCTAAATGATCATAAGAAGGTCTGGATAAAATTCAGTGAAAGATCCTTCTCTTCCTTGAACGGATGGCCAACAAACAAGACGGGATGAAGGTCCGTGACACCAAGGGGGAAGATAACCTGCTAACCAAAAGCTTGGAGAATACAGTCCCATAAGAATCTGACCTGTTTGCACCACATAAAAAAACGATTTTGAGTTCCCCCACCACTTTTGCACAGATCCAAGGAGAATGCCTTAGAAAGCTTGTCAAATGTATTGAGGCACTTATGGCTCAGTTCTGAACTGAAAAACTAAACCTTTTTGGGATGATGTCCTTTCCCAGCCGAAGGGTATAGGTCCTTGTAAGCAGAACCTCCTCTTGAAGAAGAGCATTATTATGAGATTTTGATGAAAAAGCTCTTTGCCTCTCCAAATTCCAGCGCCACATATCCAAAGAATAATTTGGAATAACCACCTCAGGATCCTCATTAAGGCAAGCCCAATCCTCAATTTCTCTATCCGTCAAGTGTCTTCTAGGCTGGATATTCGCAGATGTTATATGAGTTTTCCACATATCAGCTACAATGCCTTCCCTTTTCTGGGTAATAGCAAAAAGGGAGGGAAATCTGATTGAAGACTCAGAATCTGAAACATCTTCCTCGGAGGAAGAAGAAGACAGCAAAAAATTTAGGAAGGACCTGGAGTTCTTCAATGCATTAATCAAGGTCAAGAATTGGGATCCGACCCTTAAACAGAAAGATGCCAAGCTTTTCGATTCAGATGATGACAGCCAAGACAAGACAGTGATGACATCAACAGTAGTTTAACAGAGAAGAAGAAAAGCAGTATGTACTTGAAAGATGTGATAGCGAAACATTTGATTGAAGAGGGCACCGAATTTGATGATGAGAGGACTAAAAACATGAAGATTTATGACAAGGAGCGGGAAGAGATACGCAAGCATTCTTTGAGGCAGCAGAAGTGCAAGATGATGAAGATGGTGAGGAAGAGTTGTTAAAAGTGAAGGAGCGATGATGATGGTGAGGAATAGGGGAAGACGAAACTTGCTTATTGGATGTCAAAGATTTAGATGAGGATTTTGATCCAGAAGAGTATGACAAGATGATGAAGGTGGCTTTTGGTGAAGAATATTACGAGAAAGCGGACGATGCTCCTGAGTTCGGAAGTGATATGGATAATGAAGGTGATGATGATCGAGAAACCTGATTTTGAAAAAGAGGACGAGTTGCTTGGATTGCCAAGAGGGTGGGCGTCATCTGAGTCGGGCGATGGCTTCTTAGCAGCTAGGGAAAGGAGTTTAGAACATAAAATTGATAGTGATCTGAGTAATGTGGATAATGAAGAAGAGGTTGAAGAACATGGCAGTGAGGATGAACAAGGCAAAAGGAAGAGGAAGCGGAAACTATCGTTGTACACAAAAGCTAAAGAAGTCATGATGGAGGAATATTATAAATTAGATTACGAGGATACAATTGGAGACTTGAAGGCGAGGTTTAAGTACGCCAAAATACGACCTAATCGTTACGGATTGAGTACTGCTGAAATCATGGCATTGGATGACAAAGAGTTGAATCAGTTTGTTTCTATGAAAAAGCTGGCCCCTTGCACAAGGAAGAATGGAAGATGCCAAATAGTACTAGACAGCGCCTGAAAATGAAGACCAAGGAACTACTAAGAGGCAAACAATTTGGTAAACAGAAAGGCATCGTGAAGAAGAGGATGAAGAACAGCTCCGACATGCACATTGTGGATAACAATGAGAATGACAAAGTATAAATTGAGGATTCGAATGGCGATAAGGGGAATTTATCTAGGAAAGCCAGGAGAAAACAGCGACAAGCTGAATATAAATTGTCAGATGCTCGGCTCCAGGGATACGCCAAGATGATCTCGAAACCTAAGAGGAAAACAAAACACTAATCATTGGAAATCAATTGCCGTGCTTTAGCAGGTGATTCTTCTTTTTAGTCATTAATGAGATAACTTCTGTGTTTTATTTCTTACATCTTCACTCCTTGCGGTGTCTTGTTATAGCAAACAAAGTACTGCAGGTTGGTTTTTTTCCTTTTGTTATTTTGAGTCGCATTTAATTCTTTGGGATAAAACCTATTCATATTCAACTTGTTATATTGTTAAAGATGGGATTCTAAAAGCTTTGGTTTAGTAGATCTTGTGCTCAAACTCATACTATTTGTAATCTTGTCATTAACCCTTCTAGGCAAACTTCATTACCCATTCTAAGGTCTCTGAGTTTTGGAGATGGAAAAATCACAAAAAAGAACAGACCCTTTTCAGAAAATGACTGGAAATCTGCGAAGGAAAGATCAGGCAGCCTACTTCTTCCCCATTGAGATCAGTTTATATGCACTTCATTACAATAATTGGCTTCCCAGAATGACAACAGAACTGCTTTGTTATTGTTTTTTCATATGAAATAATGGGTATTACGGTAAAAGGAGCAAAGAAACTTGGACTTGCAAGGAGGCTCTGAAACCAGTTTCGATCACGAAGAACTAGGTTTGAAGCTCACATTTCGCCCTCAAATTTGCAGGAAACAAACATCAAATCCTGGCATGATATCAACTACTTCCATTGCTTACATGTACAAGAAAATGTTTTTGAGTAGTTGGCCTCTTAGTTAGGTGTATAAATTATCTAGATTTGGTTGGATAAATGTTGTGATTCTGATTAATTTTATAACATAAATTTTATTATAATTGTCTAATTATTAAGTGCAAGTTTGTAGCTTAAAATTATTTAACACACAATTAGTCCAAAAACAATTATGAGCCATCTCAACTTAAATAAATAGAAGAATAAGCAGAGCAGTAGAAGGGGCGTCTACACATGCGCTGTTACGCATAACGTCTGTTCAACACCGAAAGAGAACTGAAAATTTGAAGGAAAACCAAAAGGACGACTCGGGAAGTTCTGCAAGCGGCAGAAACCATAAAATTTGTGAGCATTTATTCTCCTTATTGCTTCCTTACTCTTCTTTTACTTCCCCTCATTTCGGAATCGGTATAGAAAGAATCGTTAATCTACTACGTCTTTGTTTCGAATGTTTTTTACTACTTTAAAGGGTCAATTGCATATTATACATTCTGTTACATTGTCTTGGGTGAAGTGATGTAACTTAGATGTGCATTTGATCGGTTGTGAACTTTGACTTCTGGGTGTTATGTTTAAAAGCTGTCCGTTCATCGCTAGGTTATGATGTTTTGGGTGTTGTAATTGGTTAGTTTATGGGCCATTTTCAGATGACGCTTTGAAGTAAAAATGCTGTGTTATCAGACAATTTTGCTACTAATTTTTAATAGGTTTTGATGAAGAAAACTAGCAGTTTGATACCTTGTTTTTCAGATTATTCTGAAGCTTTGGCCTATAATTTATCAGACAAGATGGAAGCTGATGAACTATATCTTGATCTCCTAGCACTGAGGCAACTGTACGTCTTTCTCTTAAAATGCTGTTTGCGGGATGCAAATTCAGAACTTGTAAGCCTGTGTGAGATAAGACTGTCTGGGTGTGTGCTTTCTACTTGAATATTTAACTATTGTAGCTTGGTTTTATTGTCAAAGCAGGTGGTGGGTGCAAGGGCAAAGATTTTATTCAAGCATTTGCTCGATGATGCCACTACTGGACTTCTCGAGTTTCACTCGAAGGTTTGTATTCCATTCTGCATAAAAACTTCTGTAAAACAAAACAACAATTCATAGATGTCTAGTGACATACATCCCTATTTGAGTTTGTACAGACTCTGCCATTTTACAACTTTTTACGCAAAGATGATAAACAGACAAAGCCACTGGACGAGAAAGTTGCTGAATGGATGGAACATAATCAAACTGCAAGAACGATGGCAAATCCAGAGAAGATTGAACACAAACCAGGAAGGGACAGAGCTTCAGCGTCAAATGTTGCCGCTAATGACTTGTCAAGTGGGATCAGTTCAGCACTCAGAAGAATTGAACTCCACATTTTATCCCTGCAACGTTATACAAGAAGCCATATCAGTGAAACTAAATTAGCTTACTATGGGCAGTCTGTTCATCAGGGGAATGAGTCATTAAACCACCAAAAAGTTAAGCCGATGGTGGCAAACCATTGTTCCAAGTTCGTGCATGGATTCAGAATACCTCTGACTCAAGACAAGAACGAGGCCATGAAACAGCACGAACTTGCGCTTCCACCGACTCTGATGGATAAATCAGGATGTCCAGAAGGATCCAAGGCAACTGCCAGGCGCGCTATGAAACTGAATCGAACTTGGATACAAGAAAAGAGGAGCAAGAATTCACGTGGTCGTATTGTAATGAGACCAACTTTGTGGCATAACAAGACCCATCTGGCTGCCCAGCAAGAATCAGAATACACAAACTCAGAATCAGAATCAGCACCTTCTTCAAGTCCGGCAACTCGACAAACCAGTGAAAGTGAAACCACTGCTGATTCTTCTTCTCCCGGTGACCAATCCAGTCCACCGGCAACTGGTTCAGAGGCAAGTAGCCAGTGCGGAAACAGCAGTAGCAACATTTCAAGAGAAGCATTCAAGTTCAGCCATGGGAAGAAAGAGTCCAAGAAAGCAGTAGGACGGTTCAAGAGTTTAAGAAACAAATTGGGCCTTATCTTCCACCACCACCATCACCATTACCATAACGGTCACAACTCCATGTGGAAGCAAGTAAGAAGGATGTTCCACCGTACAGGTAAGAAAGAACTAACAAGTAAAGAAGAAAAAAATGGGATGCTAAGGAAAACAACAATCAGAAGTGTGTCTCGGAATAACCAAGTTGGGAAGTTTCAAGCACTTGCTGAAGGGCTTCGAAGCCATGTATGGAAATCGAAAGCCATGAAGAAGAAAGAGCAAAGAGGGCTTAACTGTGGGAAGACGAATGGTGGGAAGAAGCTGCATTGGTGGAAAATGATTCGACGCCGCCGTGGAGTGAAGTTGCCCAATAAAGGACGTGTGAAAATAGGGTATGTAAACAAAAAACCACATGTTAAGATAATTTAATTTTAGTGGGACATTCCAAGTTTTTGCAACTAAAAATTGGAATTTTACCCTCCTGGGTTGCGCTTCTTATTTATATGAAAGTTAAATAATATTTCGGTGAAAAAAGAATCAAATCGACAAGAAAAGAACAGAGGCAGAGTTAGTTGGCCACCTAAAACATTGAGTTGTCAATGGAGAAAGCCACTTAAAATTCATGCAAGAGAAGCTTTCCACCACGTACCACTCCACTCTCTATATAATCACTCTTCTTCACCTTCAACAAAGACCCATATAATTTTTCAATGGCGGAATCTCGTAATTCTCAGCTCTACAAAGCCCGACAGACCTCGAATGAATTACCCCGCTCCCACAAAGTCGTCAAGGCCATTACCGCAGCCACAACTGGCGGCTCCCTCCTCGCCCTCTCCGGCCTCACAATGACTGGTACAGTCATTGCTCTAGCCATCGCCACACCGCTGTTTGTCATATTCAGTCCAGTTCTCGTCCCGGCGGCGATCACTGTCTCACTTTTGATCATGGGGTTCTTGATATCTGGTGGATTCGGCATCGCTGCGGCGGTTGTTTCGTGGTGGTTTTTCAGGTACGTGGCTGGGAGAAGGCAAGATGCTAACAATGATTTGCCCGGAAAAAAATCGTATAAGTTTGGCGGTAAGGGGATACAAGTTGAAGGTTGAAAGTAATGATTTGGTAGGTAATGTTTGAACAAAGTGTGTTTTGATGGTTGAGAAGAGAAGGGGGTGGTGGTAACGATTAAAGTCAGTGGCAGTTGGATAATGTAATTTGAGGTTGGCCTAAATGTTCGATGAATAAAATAAACCTTCGATTAAATAACGATATAAATGCAGAGCTTAGCTTCATATCAAAAAGTCATTAGTAACATAGAAATAAACCTTGTTATTAGAAACTACAAATCGTGTGGGGTGACTCTAACAAGTTAATTTCAGTTCATGCTTTGCTTATTTCATTAGAAAGAGAGAAATATGTTACAATTATCATCGTCATCATCAGAAAGGAAATTTTGTTCTCATCCACAGCATGGCTTTACTGTGTAGGAAGGTGTCCTAAGATTATTCCTCATTTCATCACTTGATGGACATTAACACTTCAGGAGACAATAAGATAGGTAAATCAGACATCAAAAGTTATCAAAACTGCGATTGGGAAATTTAAATTTTTTGAAGAAAAACTGGGAAAGAGAATAGCAATACTCAGAAGGCAATGGTGATTATTAGGTTCGATTCTGCCAGCAGACTCTCTTCAATGAATTTCAGAAGAGGGAGCTTTTTTATCCTCATTGTAAGCCTTCACTTTCCCCAAAAGCATGAGAAAGAACACAGAACAAAAACAAGAAATCTTTAAAATAAGTCAACCATATGGCTCAGTTTCGAGATTAATCGACACGCAAGATTCCAAATAGAAACCTGCATTCCGGTCTGTTGAGCTTGATCTTTCATGAAATCATCAAAGCCACCATGTGTAGACAAACCAAACGAATCAAAATTGAGAAAAACGTGAAATACATCCATCTCTGGATCTCAAAAAAACTCACAAACCGAAAACGATCTATCAAGCATCAAAACATACGGGAGAACATATGAATCAAAAGCTATCTTCTACCCTAAACGAAAAGAACTCGATCTCTCAAAAACAGCGGCGGATAATCCAGATTTTGTTGAAGTAATTAAGAAGCGATAAAACTGAAGAACCTCCGAAGACGAAGCACGATTGGCTAGGGTATAGCTGCTATCACCGCCGAGTTAAAGAAGACGAGTATCAAGGGAAGAGGGAAACGATGATGACAACTTTAAGCAGCTTTGTGAGTTTAAATAGGGGTAGAATTAGGGCTTCTGTTCCCGGACTTTCCGGATTCAGGTGTTGGGCTCTATTCAGGATAAAAGCCCAATTCGGATTCTAGGTTCGGCCCAAAATCAATTTATTCATTTGTTTTTTTATTTTCTTTTTCTTTTTAAAAATTAAATATCTTAAATAAAATATATTTGCTCTCCCGGTTTAAAAAATTAATAAATGAAAGTAGAGTTGAAGGATGGGTATAAATTTAATTTCTAACTAATGTCGATCATCTCATCAGGACATCTCAAACATTTATCTATTCGGGTTCTCATCGAGGTGTGAATTTCTAACTGTCACGATCGTACATTATCAATTGTGTGTTGACAAGCTCACGACAAATTTTAAGGGGAAATCAACTCATGCCTCACTCATCTCATCATAACATCTCAAACATTCATCCATCAAAATTTTCATCAGGGCATAAATTCTATCGTGTACGTATCATGTTATTTACACTCCATATCAAATAGCAGGTGCATATACCAACCGTCATGGTCGTACATTTTCAACCATGCATTGATACACTCGTGACATGATGCATTGATACACTCGTGACATGACAACTTCTAATGCGAAGGCTTCAAAATGAAGTTCTTTAGATATATTTTGCATTCATTGTGTTTTTCCATAAAAAATAAAAAATAAATAAATAAAAAAGATTAGTGTATTAGTATTTCAATTCTTAAACCCCATTTAAAAAGTAATTATATTCTTAGAAATAAATTAAAATTATCAAACTCCAATCCTAATTGCTTATATCAAGCAGCCCCAAGAAATCAAATCATCAAACAGTTCATATACAAGAGGCCCTAACAAAAACAAAAATTCAGAAGAAAACTTTCCTGGGGAATTTTTTCTGTCAAGAAAATGAAGATGAGATTCAGCTATGCCCAAGCTCTTTTCCTGGCAGCAAGATCTATCGTTTTTATCTCATCAATTTTAGCAGCTATAATAAAATCATTCATACTCAAACCTCCTGCAAATTCAAAATCCCAAAATTACTGACCTTAAAACTCAGATTTCTGTATGAAAACTCAGTGAATCAAGTTAATATGAGATGGTGGTTGAAAGAGGGAGAAGAATGAGTACCAATGGCTGAAGTCCAGAGCTCTGCCGTAACTTGATTCGGCTGATCCAAGTGAATATCTGGAAAATGGTTAGCGTCATCAACAGCGTTGGAGATTCTATTAATCAACTCCACACAGCATTTGAAATCCCTCAATTTCCACAAGCATCGGAGTTTGAATTGGCCTCTTCCATTATCCACCAATCTCCACCCCACGACCTATATGAAATTTCATCAACAATCGAACAATCGAACAATCGGACAATCGGACAATCAAAATCAGATATGATTACCTTCTTCAAGAGTTTTTGGGCCTCATCTTCGGGCATTGGAGCCTGCAGAGAAGAAATTGGAACGCATTGTTGCTGAGAAAGAGCTAGGGCTCGGACATTGGGGATTAGAATCTTGTGCTCTGTATTGGAAAATCCAATCACCTTATCGCCAAAGTTGCTCTCGATTTCCGCCGGGAAAGGGTCTCTGGCGCCGAAGTCGCCGTCGCCTACGACGGCGGCTCTGATGGTAGCCGGACGGAGTTTGCGGCGGAGGAAGGTGGAGGGCGGTGTCTGTGGGAGAGAGAAACGGGAGTGGGGACGGGGGAGACGGAGGAGAGGGAAGTTGGCGTTTGGGGCTGTGGCCATGGTTGTTGGATAAGGACACAGTTCCAGAAGCGACCACCAATGGGTCTGGGCCTTTGGGTTTCTTTTATTTGCTCTATGGCTCTAGTGGATAGGATTTTATGGGAACCACAAACTTGTATGGAGAATAATAAAATATATAAATAATTAATTTAAAACAAAATGAGGTTCTCCCGACTTTATTTCTAGTTCCAAATAATTTAATTTTAACTTTTTTTTTTTTTTTTTTTTTTTTT